TTCAGGATTACTCACTATACAGCCATTTGATCATGTGATGAAGTCAATATCCCCTTCTGACATTTACTTCTCAAATATATTTATAAAGTGTTACCACACCCCCGTTCACTCTTTGCTGGGCTATACTAAACAAGACAAGATCTTTTGATTCTCCTAAGAAGATGTGCATTTTTTTCCCCTAACCATCCTAGAAATGCTTCTTTGCACTTGTTCAATTTAAGTAACATTTTCTAACTCACTCAGGCCTTAAAATTCTGCTGCATTCAGGTGGAAGCAAACAATACACATTTAAGCTTTTTGCTGAGACCCAGGTAACTCCTTTTTTGTAAACCCTGCAAAAATGAGAAAATCACTGGCCAATGTTATCCTGCTAGAAAAAAAACCCCACACCTTCCTGGTAGCCCCAAACAACACCAAATTGGCATTGCAATAGGAGTTCAGAGCTCTGAATCTCCAGCTAGTGACAGATGCCTTTCTACTGCAGGAAGAGTCTGGGATGCCCTTCATCAGCTGCAGTCTGCTCTACGTGAAGCTGAAGGCTGCTGCTAGACCCGAGCTTTGAGCGCTGTCCTGCTTCACTAATCAGTGTACAACGGCTGAGGCTGAAAGCAGCTCTCCAGCTAAATATGTAGAAGTATCTGCCAGGGGTCAGTCTGTTTTTCACACCCAGATGCCCTTTTACCTCCCTGATTCCGAAGTCATTGCATCACTCTAGGTTGTCTTTATGTACCGTAAGTGGATCAACCAGGCCTGGTCCAAGGCAAGGGTAAGAGGGCTGTGTCTGGGAGATGGCAGACTAGTTCAGTTTGACTCCTGCACCTGGCAAACTGGTGACAGTGTGTAATAACGAACAGAGTTAATAGATATTTTTCTACTATGTAAGATACTATGGAAAAAGAATTGATGAGGATCCCTGTAAAGAGAGACCATGGCCCAAATTTGTTCAGAGTTTTTTGTCAGTCAATGAATATGTGAATGAGGACAGTCTAGATGATACAGGAGGAGTCTCCCCTGCAAGCTGTTTTACTCCATTCTGCTTCAAGGCCCTACACTTGCAGCCATCCGGAGTCCATCCCGGACTAACCAACTAACTCCCTCGCTGAGAAAGCCTGGGTATGAAAAAGAGGAGTTCACTACACCACTTCAGCTTTTTTACCCTGTGGACAGTACGGATGCAGATTGTGCCAGATTTCACTACTTCCAGCACAATCAGAGTCCCCTGTCACAGCAGAACACTGTTTGGCTGGGCACACCTATTATACCTTCCACATCACTGGAAGAGCTTTCTCACCACTTCCATCATTAATCTCGTACCATTTTACAAAACAATGGCACAAGGCCACGGAGGGCCTGCTTGGCTCTGGTCTCCCTTTGCAGAGACCTTGCTCTTTTTTATGGCTTCACTGCTGGGTAGATACTTCAGCAGTTATATGAGACAGGTAAATAACTTTCATCATGTTAAATTTATGACAGCGGCTCCTGCTGCCAACTGTCACAGGAACACCACACAGAGACCTTTCAGTTTAAAACATTAATGTAGCCCACACAAAGGCTCGAGTTGCTAATTGGCATTCTGGTTCAGTTCAGCATACGTGCCCCACCATCCTGGCTTGCGCTAGATACCCAATGAGGGACAACCACTGAATGCCTTGTTCTGCATGACCGCCTGCCAGGGCTAAAGCTGCAGGTGAAGTTTCTGTGACTTCAAGCTTTTTGCACCAGAGCAGGAGGAGCCTCCTGACCTGTCCTGTTATGTTTCTCTGTGCCCTGCTCCATCTGCTAACAAGAGGAACAGAAATTTCCTTCTGTGCCTTAGCTTCTCTCCCTGCAAGTCCTGCTGGAGTCATTTACCCATCAAAGCACAGATTACTTGTCACCTGGAAGCATCAAGCACCACGGAAGGTCTGCATGCAGTTTGTCTGCACTCCAGAAATTTCCCAGCTCCATGGATGGGCTGTCAATAGCTCGGGGGTGGGGGTGGGGGGCAGCGTGTCTGGCACTCCAGAACGTTCCTAGGGGAAGGCTTGGACACGCTTTCCAGTATCCTGTAAACTGGAGATTCCTCATTCGCTCAGGCAGGGTGGGCTATAGGGAGAAGGAAGGTAGGAGAGGAATGTGAGACGGACAGAACATTCCCAGATGCTTCAGCCCACCCACCTCACCTTCCCCAGGACTTCTGACCACCTGGGAGCCACCCTGTCACACGCAGATCTTCTCAGGGTAGGAAGTTCAGCAAACATCTCCTGCAACAGACCCCAGGTATCTGCACACGGGGAAGGATCAATGCAACCCCAAGGGTTATCACACTGACAGGCTTTTGGACTGGGCAGGTCACTAGCGTGGAGGGCAGGAGCCAACAAGGGCAGCGCCGTCGTGGCATCTGTGCTTCCCGGGCCATCGTCTCCAGTTAGCTCACAGCTCTTCATCTGCTTGCTGTTCAAAGCAGGCTAATGAGAGATGCACAGGTATCACATGTGGATCAGCTCCGCTGGTACCTCCTGACCTTTCTCTACAGGTTCTACCTGGTCTGGAGGCGAGCGGGTGTCGGAGGGAGGGGATATGTGTATCTGCCGTGCTGGAGAAACAAAAATCATCACATCGTTCCCAACGCAAAAAATACACGAATACATGCAGGTATTTGCATCTGCTTTTCAACCACGTTTCCATAAGATTTTTATAGGCATATGCTTTCAACCCGTGTTTATAGATAGTCTTCAGGTGGGCAGGTGTACGCATGGTAAACACACACACACAGATGCATTTAAATGCGGTTATGTCCTTACACATGACCGTACAGTTTTCACACATCCGCACTATGTATGTGCTACGCACACGTGCGCCCGTTCGCACAGAGCGCCAAGTAGGCCTGTCTGTCATTTTCTGGCCCCGCGAGCGAGGACACACGCGTCCGTCCCCGGGGGCCTGCCGCACCTGCCCACGTACCCCTGCCTCCTTCCTGTGGTGGCGGCGGCCCACGCCCCGA